ACTTTCTGTAATTTTTTTACGAATTTTTGAAACTAAAATCCAATTTTAACAACTAATTGATAACTTTCCCAATTTTAACTAGAAAATGCAAAAAGCAACTAAAAATATGCTAACTTCGTTATAAATTTTATTTTTAGCTACTGGGAGGTATATAACTGTGAATAAACTGTAATCAGGTCCGAACTAATTTTTTTTTCCTTTTTTAGTATTTATTTTGATTTAAGCAATAATATAAGGCAATTACCGAAAATTAATAAAAAATACTCTAAATTCGTACCAAATTTTATATTAACTACTAGTAATGATATTTAAGTTAACTAAACTGTAAATAGGGCCGAAATCATTTTTTTCTTTCTTTTCTAGTATTTAATCTAAATTATGAACTAATATCAAATAATCATCAAAATTAATTAAAAATTACTTCTGGTTCGTGAAAAATTAATTTCTTCAGATAAATAACTACCTTGAGGCTAGTGAACAACTATATAATTAATTGGAATGAATTCAAAAACAATAACTATTTTATTTAATTTTTGGAAGGAAATGCGAAATACTTGAAAAATAATCTGGAAATTTTCGAAGAACAGATCGAAGAAACAAAGCACAGATTCAGATTCTACACATTGAGAAGATGAAAATACATATAAAGAACTTACAATTTGGAGCTAAAATGAAGAAGATATGAAGATTTGAAGTTTCTCTCTCTCTAAAACCTTTGGAGCTCGAAAATGGAGGAAGAAAGAAGGTGTTTTGAACTGATTTAGGGTTGGAAGAGGTGTGTTTGAGTTGAGGAAAAATCGGGCTATTTATAGGAGAAATTTTCCCGAAGGCGGCCAACCAGGCGGCCGCCTTCCGCCTCTCTCCGGCCGCCTGCCGTCTTCGTCGCCGACAGCGGTCGGTGGCCGGTCCCCGTCAGCCGTAGGCGGCCACAGAGGGCGGCCGCCTTCCGTCACACATCGGCCGCCTGCCGTCTTTTCATTGTCAAATCGGATCCCGGCGGATCCCGGCGGATCCCGGCCGCCGCAGGCGGTCCAGCAGGCGGCCGCCTGCCGTTCCTGTCTGGCCGCCTGCCGTCAAATCCCACCGGCCGGCGGTTGCTTCGTCGTCTTCTGCCGCAGGCGGTCACCGTAGGCGGCCGCCTTCCGTCCAGTGTCGGCCGCCTACGGTCTTTTCCGAATCCGGTCAAAGTCAAAGTTTGACTTTCCAAAAATACCGTAGGCGGCCGCGAAGGCCTTCATTTTGGGCGCCTATTTGGGCGCCTTCGGCTACTTTTGTCTGGCAGATGCGGCTTTTCTTGCTCTTCAACTTTGTCTTCTGAATCACCTTGATAAAATGCTTGCTTCTTCCGGTATAAATGCATTTGTAACTCAAATTGACTCATTTTGTGCTCAATTGACCCGAAATCCCGCTAAACATATTATGGATGTGATTTTTACCTGATTTCATGAAACTTGAACCGAAATATATAAAATGTGTCTTTTCTTTCTATTTTCATTCAAAAATCGCTTAAATTTGATAAGAAAAATAAGTACGAAAATGGACTTATCAGTATCCGATAGAGACCCACGATTCACATCACGTTTTGGCCGAAATTCCAGGAGTCTATGGGAACGAGGTTGAAGTTCAGTACTGCTTTCCATCCACAGACGGATGGGCAGTCTGAAAGGGTTATACAGATCTTAGAGGATATGCTGAGGGCTTGTGCGTTAGAGTTCCAAGGAAGTTGGGACAACCACTTAGCACTCGTGGAGTTTGCCTATAACAACAGTTATCAGGCAAGTATCGGCATGCCTCCATATGAAGCATCGTATGGGAGGAGGTGTCGTACACCGTTATGCTGAGACGAGGTTGGCATGGCCAAACTCGAGGGTACTGAGTTGGTTGAGATCACCAAGTCAAGGGTGAAGTTGATTCGAGAGAGACTCAAAGCGGCTCAGGATAGACAAAAGAGTTATGCAGATAAGCGTCGAAGAACCTTAGAGTTTAAGGTTGAGGACGAGGTATTCTTGAAAGTTTCTCCTTGGAAAGGAATCATTCGATTCCAAACCCGAGGAAAGCTTAACCCACGATACATAGGTCCATTCAGAATTATAGAGAGGATTGGGGCCGTTGCATATCGTCTACAGTTGACTTCTGAATTAGAGAAGATACATAATGTGTTTCATGTATCCATGCTTAAGAAGTATGTACATGATCCCTCCCACGTATTGGAAAAGCCGCCTGTAGAGGTACGTGAGGATTTGAACTACGCTGTGCAACCAATCAAGGTCACCGATAGAAAGGTGAAGAAACTGAGGAGCAAAGAAGTCCCAATGGTTAAAGTCCTTTGGAAGAGCGATCGGGTCAAAGAAGAGACATGGGAAACAGAGGCCTTGATGAGGAAGCAGTACGCTTCTCTATTCGAGTAGAGCTGTGAATTTCGGGGACGAAATTCCTGTTAAGGGGGGGTGAACTTGTGACACCGCACCCGAACGTCCTTGAAAATTCAATTTAAATTCAAATATATGTATCGAATTTCCGACTCCAAACAATTGTAAAACGATTAATGTTCTACGTAGTGCATGGTTGAATATCGTACTATTCAAACTCGTACATTAGTGTCGGGTTTTGCAAATACTTATTCGGGACTTATTAATAAATAAAAAGCCCAACATTATCTAAATAGTGATACATAATCTTTCAAGACAATTTGAGGAAGGTTGGGCGGCCCAAACATTATTTGGGGCCCAACCTGCTAAAAATAGCAAGTATTCGAGAATGACGTTCTAGACCCACTCGGGAGTGACCCACACGGCTAGTAGCCCAATAATATGTATGACAAATGTCAAATAAATGATAGAATGATTAAAGAAGAATACAAATGCCTATAACCCCATCTTTGGCATTATTGAGCTAAATAATGGGAGTAGGATTTTCCTGCTATGATATCCATCAAGTAAATTATCGTAATGAACCTACACATATTGGAGATCAATAATGTGATGGAGGAAGTTGACTTGTTCTAAATAAATTAGGATGAGTACAAAAAGACATCTTTGACAAAAGATAAAACTATAGGACCCATCTTCCCATTTTTGGAAGTATTGATATATATTTTGGACCCCAAAATGATTGGGATCAATTGGGAACCACTCCACATGACTTGAGTACCTGCAAGACAAAGAAAAAATGGGTGAGATGACTATATGGGGCGAGCATGTTGACTTAAGAGCAATACATTACAAAAAGAAATAAAAGTGGAGGTCCACCTCACATTTGATTGCAAACCAATGTCTCCCATGCTCTTTTGTGAGCCACATGCTCTCTTAGCATGTTTAAGGCATCCTTTACACTCCCCCCTACACCCCATTCGAACTCCCCAAGATAAGAGAGAAGGAGAGAGCCACATAACCAAGATAAGCCAAAGAGAGAGCAAGCTGTCCGCAGGTTCGTTCTTCAGTGCGTAGCTCTGATTGTTTGAGCCATAACTCGAGATTCACTCGTCCAATTAAGGCGTATAAGATACCAAAAGAAAGCTCTCAAGACGAGGAATCCGTGGATGTCTGGTTTGCATCAATCGGAGTAGTGGAAGGCTTCCAAATCGTCCGAGCAAAACACAACCTCGCGGAATACGTTTTTGTATTCAAAGTAAGTTTGAATCCAAAACCTTCCTCTCTATTGTCTAAATCGTATAAATGATTGAAGAACTATTATACACTGATTGAAGTGTATAAAATGTTATTATAAAGTGACTTTAATTGTTGGAAAGGTTAGATACTAACCTAGACAAAACCTTGAAAGGTTAGGGAACGAATTCGTCGGGAAACACCCGTTCTAGGGACTGTTTTTGCGTCTTCGGTTAGGAGTTGAACTAGCACTTTGAGGGGGCTGTTTAACACTCAATTCCAAGCAAGGAATCAGTTCTAAAACCTTCTTGGCCGAGGCTTTGGTCGTTGGAGCGAGAAGGAAGGTTTTAAAGCTCATTTGAGGTGAGGACCGACATCTAGTTGCTTACAACTTGTAGGTTATGCATGAGATTACCTAAATGCTTAAATCATGTTTTTGTGAATAAATATGCTTGAACATGATATGAATGATAAGTAATGGACTTGATCATGAATTGAAACCATATTGATGAATATGGAGTTATGTGAGATAAAGGTATGTTAATATGGTAAAATGACCTTTCCAACTCATATATGAATGTTATGTGTATGTAAATGTATAATTTCATGATGATGCTTAGCACATGGGAGGCTGCCACATATCTATTGATATGGAGGGGCTACCATTTATGATAAATGAGTTGTAGGAATAATCTTAATAGTATTGTGATGCTAGTTAAGGATTGTTCAAAATGTTGATAGAATTAAACTTAAGGTTTGAGTTGTTTGTGATGAACTTGAATAAGATTCAAGTGTCAAGTGTGATTGTATGAAGTAGGAGATCTATGGTGTGATTATATGAAGTAGGAGATCTATGGTGTGATTATATGAAGTAGGAGATCTATGGTGTGATTATATGAAGTAGGAGATCTATGGTGTGATTATATGAAGTAGGAGATCTATGGTGTGATTATATGAAGTAGGAGATCTATGGTGGGATTGTATGAAGTAGGAGATCTATGGGGTGAATACATGAAGTAGGAGATCTATGGTATGATTATATGAAGTAGGAGATCTATGATGCGAGTGCATGATGATGTACTCGAGCCTAACTCTAGAAATGAGAAGTTATATTAGGGTTGGACCCTATGTATTGTCGTGACTATTAGTCACGGGGTTTGGGAAATGTTTTATAACAAACACGGGCCTTTGAGCCGACTACTTGACTTTATATAAAGTAAGTATGTATTTTGAAAGGGGTAATCTGGGATTACGGCCTATACTATATTATCACCCTATTTGAGGGTCTTGTGTGTGAAATACTTGTTGTATATCTATTAGATGCCTGCCACACCAGCACTTTATAGCCCTATAGAGTGCTGACCCCTTCGGGGGCGTCCCACCACCATTTTTCAGGTTGAGGCTAGAGCTTGCTTCCTGTGCTCGTTGCTCGAGAGATCATATAGGAGGGAAGACTTGGTTCGTGCTTCCTCCATTCTGTTTTTAAACCTTTCTAAACATGCTCATGGATATTTTACTATGGAGCCTGTGTGCTCATGAAATGCCTTGTGTGGCCCTTTTGTTTTAAACAATGTTTCCGCTGCGTTATGAATTACTTATTATGTTTGTTTATGGATGTATATGTGTGAATGATATTCAAGACGCCTTGTATAATATGAATGTGTTGGACTGCGGTTGACTATTCGTATTGTACGGCGGGTTGTTGACGTGTCCGGATAGGTCCGGGGCGTGACAGTATATTGATGCGTACTCATGAATTTTGGACAATGAATTGTTATTAGAATATGGATTTCTCAAGCTTCCCAATCGTGTGTCATTGGGGAGGGAACTTTTATGAGGATGCTGGGCAAATATGCCATGAAGGTGGTAGAACCAGCTTTGTCATGGTTTCTCATGGCGCTTGCATGCCCAGAGTCCTAGCCTATGTTCGTGCTGCTGGTTTTTTTACACTGCACAGATTAGTGGCTACTGTGCCTCTTGATAGATCCCTTCTCACTGCTCTACTTGAGCGTTGGAGGCAGGAGACACACTCATTTCACCTCCCTGTTGGTGAGGTGACTGTGACATTGGGAGATGTGGCTGTACTCACCGGGTTAGAGGTTCATGGGAGAGCTGTTACAGGCACTGCTTGTCGACAGTGGGTTGATGAGTGTGAGCGGTTGTTAGGTATCTGCCCCGTTCTTAGGACTGACCTTCAGGGGTCATCTCTTAGGATGCCGTGGTTGAGGGAGCACTTCCAGGTCCTTCCTCCCGACGCTGATGAGGTGATCATCCAGCAGCATGCTCGGGCGTATATATTGATGATGATGGGAGCCTCCATTTTCGCTGACAAGAGCGGAAATGAGGTTCAGGTGCTACACTTGCCTTTGCTGGAGAGGTTTGATGTAGCAGCACAGTTCAGCTGGGGTAGTGCCACCCTGGCTTATCTATACAGGCAGCTGTGTCGCGGCTGCCAGAGAGGGAGCACAGAGCTGGGGGGATTTTTGCTACTCCTCCAGATTTGGTCATGGGAGTATATCCACATTGGCCGTCCCATTATAGTCGGATATCATGGCATTGATGGACAGCCACTGCCTGATGAGCCGCCACGTCTGCTAGGACCACATCATGTACGGGGCGAGGACCCTCTAGGCCGTCGGTATGTTTTCAATCGTTTGTATTTATGTGAGTATTTGTTGAATGTTAATAAATTAATAATATCCATATTATTGATATTGTTACATGAATGGTTAGGTGGCTATATGCTGGTCTATCTCGCATGTCATCCGCTACTGGGCTCGGTGTCTACAGGGATGCATTGGATCGGATGTCTAAGGACCAGGTATGGTGTATGTAGTATAACATTAACTAGAATAGGTGTAGAATAAATACTAATTTTGTATGTTTATGAAACAGATCACATGGATGCCGTTTAGACCTGATATGTTAGCAGAGTTGCCCCCAGCTGGACGAGAGCATACTCACATCTGGCGAGCACATGTCCCGTTGATATGTTTTGACATTGTTGAGCTGCATTTGCCTGATAGAGTCATGCGACAGTTTGGGTTTGAGCAGGTCGTTCCACGTCCTATCGACACTTATGTAGAGCTGCATAAGCTGGATAGGCGTGGGAAGCATACAGAGGATTGGGCACTCAGACATGTCCGATACGTGACTATGTGGGAAAGGAGAGCTGAGCTAGCTGTGGTTGGGACACCCACATATGTGCCATCTGTTTCAGGAGACTACATGGGATGGTACTACAGCATCACTCGGTTATTTGTGTCTCCTTCGTTCAGACTCCCTACTCATCATTATCAGCCTAGCTCCTTGGCTTTGCATCTTACGGTGAGTATATTAGTAATTAGTAAAGTAAGTCATTTTATTTATGTAATACTTGTATGTATTTGAATGTAATTGTAATTGTGTTTCATATTTCAGACACGATATTCCTGATGTGGACATGTATGGACAGGCTCTGACAGGCATTGCCTCGTTGTGCTCAGATGTGTTGGGCCGAGTAGACTACGGACATCTTATACACATGCCCCCATCTCAGGAGATGGCATCCACGTCTAGTGCAGCCGCGGCTTCATCATCCCAGACGCAACATGAGAGAGTGGTTCTTCAACCACGACAACGCCGTAGGCGTAGACATGAGCAGCAACATCTCCATGACGAAGCTGATGATGAGAACTTGTAGTTTGTCTTTTGTATTGTAGTTTTTCTTATGCAGTAGATGTTGTACGAACAATGTACAAGTTTTGATGTATTTTGTCTTGTTAAGTATTGTATGGTGTATTGATGTGTTCGAGTATGAATATTAGATGATTACTTGTTATGGCATATATGATGATTGTATTGTGTTATTCCGGTTATGATTTGAAGGTTTTTTACGGGTGTTTATAAGGTGTTTTTAATATTGTTGAGAGTAGGTCATTGTGAAGACGTGTGTTGTATGTTTTATAATGTGTTGTATCTAGTTCGTAATACTTTAACAGGAGAAGGGAGACCTTATTTATAGCAAACAGATGAGTCTGGGTTGAACCGAGGCGAAAAACCTGATGAAATGCTGTTTTCGGACATAGGCACGATCGTGCGTACCCTTGTAGGCACGATCGTGCCTGGCTGGCAGTAGCTGCTCGCCTTCAACCACATTTCAGGGGTAAGTCGCCCAACCGTTGGGCGACTTATAAGTCGCCAAACCGTTTGGCGACTTATAAGTCGCCCAACGGTTGGGCGACTTACCCCTGACCATGGTTAAGGGCCAGCAGTATTTTGGTAAATACTTTTTTTCCAGCATTATTTCTGTAATTAATTAATTACTTAACATTAATTCGGAAAAAAACTCCAACTTCTCAACTTAAAAATAAAAAAAAGCAAAATCATGGTCGGGAGTATCACAACTTCTCTCTAGGGTGGTTCGCTGCTGTTGGAATTTTCTCTAGGCTATCGATATTTTTGAGGAGCGGCTGTCTACCTACATAGTTAGAGATTTTGTCCCACCGAGCTTCGCTCTTGCGGCTTGGATTCTTGTGGAACGAGAGTTTCTTGCGGTTTTCCTTTTGAGAGTTTCGGAACATGAGCGGACGCAAGGGCGGTGGGGTGTGGCTTGGATTTTTATGGGTGAAGAAACATAAGACCACGTGATAGAGTTTTTTTTGCACCTCGAGCATGTATTCCAATGGCAAATCTCAAAGAGCAAATCGGCAAGAACAAATTGACGAGCGCAAGAAGGATAGAGTTTCAGACGAATTTTTCGGGGGTTGAAATTCTCTTCTATCATACTACAGCAGCTCGCCCTCCTCCGGAACCGCCTCCGTGCAAGGAAGCAATTTGAGGAAAGTTTTTATTTTCGTATTATTTTTTCTTTCGTAGTACTTATTTTTATTTCAGTTCGAGCAGGTATGATTGGAGTATTTTGATTTTTGAAGAACTTTTGATAGAAAATGCTTCATTTTTGGTTGCTTTAAGCTTCTTCTTGCCCATTTTGTGTCTAGCGAGTCGGGTTGCTTTGTACTGGAGACTGACTCTAAGTATATTCCTAGGGCTGACGATCGGATCCGTAGTTGTTGTCTGGATTTTGTCTTGCATGTTTGTTCTATATTATTGAAAAGCAATTTTGATGATTTAAAAAAGGGGCAAAGTTAGTGCATGTTTGGTATGCATAAGTCACCACCTTCTAGTTTTTGTGCTATTTAAAAAGTCTCTAAAAACTTCTAATTATATGTTTGACATGACAATGTTTGGGAGCTTTTTTAAAATAAAATATTTTTTTGAGATGCTACAGTCATAGAATCTCAGAAAAGTTTCTAGATTTTGGCATTAATTAGTCACAACTGCTTGTATACCAAACATAACTGGATCAAACAATCAGTTTTTTACCAAACAGTTGCCACCTTTTCTTCTAAAATTTTTTCAGTCACTAAAAGCAAATAAGTAATAAAACATGGGGAAACTGTCAATTTGGTTCTTGTACTATCACAAAAACGTCAATTAAGTCCTCGTACTTTTAGAAAATCAATCAAATCCACGAACTTTGAAAAAACATTCAATTAAATCAATTAGCATGTTATCCGCCACGTCTACAAGTCACATGCTGGTGTGGCACACACGTGATCGTCCAGACATCAGTGGCTTTGCTGATGTGGTGCACGCGTGGAAGCCCAACCATCCATTTTTCAATGATGTGGCGCACATGCGGACTGTCACGTGTGCGCCACGTCAAAGGGTGACATGACAGGTAACCTGCTAATTGACTTAATTGAACTTTTTTTAAAGTTCGAATATTTGATTGATTTTTTTAAAAGTACGAGGACTTAATTGACGCTTTCGTGATAGTACGAAGACCAAATTGACAGTCTTCTCTAAATATATCATAACAATATTCTTTTCAGCTAGTTCTGTCAAACATACACTTAGTAGAACAATCCACAAAGAAAAGTTCCAAAAGTTTTAAGGGACCAAGATAGTGTAAATTATCAAAAATACAATTATGAATTATGGAAAGTTTTGTTGGGCTCCATTGGAATTCAACAAAATTCTAAACATTATTTATGTAAATTTTTCTCAATATTCATAGACCAGGCCATATTTAGGTAGATTAGATTAGACCAGACTAAAAAATTTTAATCTAATACAAAACATCTTTAAAGAAGTCCTGTCTGAATTTTAGAACTCAATGTTAGATTAGAATTCAACAAATCTCCTTATCTACAAATTCTAATATCCTGAAATAACACTAATAACAGTAACAAAGATGTTTTTAGTTTGACTAAAATTTTCTCATCTCGACTGATCTATTTAAGTCTAGTCTGGTCTGATCAGGTGATTTGATCTATTTAAATATGGTCTGTTATGAGACTAAACCCAGTCCAAGTAAAATGTTGTTACACACTAAGAACGAACTCAAGCCCAAAAAAAAGAACTCAAGCCCGCCCTTATATAATACTGAAATTTGACTCTTCTTAAACTCAAGAACGAAGACAATACCATATAAAGGCGGAATTAAAGAATAACATTTTTAAAACTTTTCTTTTATGAAAGAACAAAAACAATGAACGTAAGGGGCTTCGAAAAATTCTTTAAAAGTACCGGCGAGGCCAGGTTAACAACTTCAACAACAAAAAATATATAGGTTTGCCATACGTATATAAAATGAGAAAAGGTTTGAGTTGCGTTATGAAAATAAACTAAAATGGTGCATTTTTCCATGGTGTCGATCTCAACCGGTTCTATAAGTGTAAGTTTCCCTATATTTACAAGATTCTTTTAAAAAGCAGCAAAATGGTCCTTAAATATAAGTACATAAATTTAATCTACAAATTCTAATATGGGGAAAACGCACATTTAGTCCTTGAAATAGTCACCATATTGAAATGTCAGATCCGTATTTCCGGGTTTGTAAATGTCACCCCTCAATTGTCCAAATTACTTAAAATGTCACCCCTTGAGGGGTGAAATGTACAGTGTGGGCGAGGAGTAATATTTGTTCATAAAATATTACTTTATACTAAGATTTAAATCAAATTAGATCAAATCAAACCTTTTTACTTAGATATCATAATATAGTTTGTGTAAGGAAGAGAACGTACATGTCCTTCAATGAAATACATGAATACAAATGATACTTAAGAAATTATGTAAAATAAAAATTACAATTATTAACACCATTAAAATTAAAAACAAAATTATTAAAATCACACATAATACATATTAATTTAGAAATTAGTAGTCACTCAAACCGCTTCCAGACCCTCTGATAGTCCCAAGTGAGGTAAAAGTCTAGAAGGGGATGAATAGACTTTTAAATCTTTTTGTTTTTCAACCCTTATTCCTCATAACAGAATGAGTTCCAATATCTTTTGAGAGATATTGAAACCTACAGCGGAAGTCTTAACCTCAATAGTGTGACACTTTATAATAACAAAGATTATGACCCTTTTAGTTGTGAAGAGATTGATGAAACATGGTGATGGTCCCTGATAGAGGTAAAAGTCTAGAGGGGAGGTGAATAGACTTTTAAGGCTTTATTAACTTTAAAAGCTTTTTCCTTCTAGATGAGTTGATCTATAATCTTTTGGGAGATTAATAGATGCATAGCGGAAGTCTTTAACCTCTTTGTATAAACAGTGTGAAATAACTTACTGGATTGGATGAAGTTTGGAAAATGACAGTGAGCAGTTGACTTGACAGTTGCCTGGATGACAGGGAACTGCTGAAGCAGCTGCTAGTGGAAAAATAGGAGTTTTGTGATGGATGATTATATGGCCTTATGCAGAATGATGAGGGATTTGTGAAGGTGTACTGAGCTGGAGATAATAAGGGGTTTTGCTTAAGCAGAGGTCTAAGCAGTTGGGTGGACCCAGAGAACTGCTAAGGAACCTGGTGCATATAAAAGATGTATTTCTGAATACTGGCAAAACGGACCTTTCGGTAGTGATGTTCCAGGGATCTTGTGAAACAGTTGTCTAAGGAAAAGTAAGTTATTAAGCAGTAGGATAAGCAGTATAGTCAATTAAGACTACTGCTTAGGATGCTGCTGGCAAACTACGATCCCTTTAGTGAGAAGTGTTGGGTGTGTGCTTTGTTGACTGAATGTAAATCAACACATAGTATTTCCTGGTTCAGAGGTGGTGTAATCCTCCTACATCCAGTCCCACCCTATCTCAGATGGATTTCCACTAAAGTATTAAGCCCAACACATTTAGTGCCAATCTAGCCTTTTCAACACGTAGGCATAGATTGAAGGTGTTTCACAGTGAGTATAGCACCACTCAAAGTTACTCAATCCTTTAGACTTTTCTCAATTGATCCAGTGGGGATCAAAGGGTACTCTATCTATCTAACCACACTTTAGGATCCGAACAACTGTTCTCCTAAGTGTTTACAACACTTCATGAAATTTTACAAGAAATTTCTGGCCACCAACTAAAATCTAAGCTCTAAAAATATGACAATGCATGATCTAGTCTAAGAGCTTAGTGAAGCATGAGTCAAAGCAGAGAGTGAAGTTATGATCGAGCACTTTCTCTTTTGCTAGATATCCTTTGTATGCTTATAGGATCTCTCTACTTTGAACTCAACAACTTAAATTCGGACTCATGCTTCAGCCTTTATTTATAGGCATCTCCATTAGATTAATATCATCAATTGGTTGAGATGATTTAATCTTGTTCGTTGAATCTTGGTTTCAGAAGATAACCACTTGTTGCTTATCTTCTTCTTTGGAGCTGATAACTTCTTGTGTGCCTAGCCGCTGCATTTTTCTCTTTTAGACTTCAAGTTAACTGCGCATCCCATATTGTACTTCTTTGCATTAAATGCTCTCCATGCTGGATGCTTTTGATTGGGTCCGGATAAACAAATAATGTAAAAGATAACTTTTCTAATAAACTTTATACC